TATTGGTTTAGTGGGATTGGATCAAGCCATCTTTAGTCCCCTGGTCATGGTATTCCCAGATTGGGTTCTGGAGTTTGGAGGCTTCAAAGAGCTTTGAAAAGGAAAAATCCTCTAACCCAGTGTCCATGTATAACTGGGTGAGGGGCTCTAGAATGTTCATGCTGAGGAGAGAAAAAGTTTTCAACTTTCTCTGGATTTTGGTATTCTCGGATTGGGTTTATTCCTCATTCTAGGGTTGCAGTTAGAACCATAAAAAATATTTATTTTTACCCCTTGAAGCCAACAGTCTTTGTTTCTGTTAATGCTCTCTTTAGAAGCATTCTGCTTGCTACAATGGGTTTGGGGTCAGTGCCCACAGATACAGAGTGGAGTCCAAAGACTCTATACTTCAGGAATCATAAATTGATCTCTCTTCTTCCGGTTCATTGGACGGTCTATACAGTTGAAAACAGGGGCGGACTGACAACTCATGGGGCCCCCAGGCAATAGGGGATCATGGGGCCCCTGTGTCCTTGCCCAAACTCAAAAAAGCCTATGAAAAAGGTACCAGGGTCATCTCATGGGGCCCCCTACTGACCCCGAGCCCTCGGGCAGTGCCCGAGTTTCCAAATGGTCAGTCCGCCCCTGGTTAAAAAGTACCTCTGCTTCCCCTAAGAACACATTCTGCCACTAGTTATTACTCAAATAATTACAACATACAAGGGGCAGACCTTATATAAAGGGGTGCCATCATTCAACTGCGGCTAGAATAGCATTTTGTCTAAATATGGCTCTGCTGCAAATAATATTGAATCTTTTTCTATTCAGGTGAGAAGGGAGACACAGGAGTTGTGCTTCAAGGAAGTAAGTAAAAAAAAAATAAATGTATTTTTTTTAAATGTGTTTATATTACTTTAGTTTGGGTAAAAGATGTAGGTGAAATACAACAAACTCTGTGGCTTAAAATGGACATTTCCTTGATTTTACTAAAATCCGTATCAGCATGCATCTCTGCATGCTGATGTGAAATTATCCAGCAATATTCTTTTACTTTTTTTTTAATTTACTTACCTTTCTTCTGTCCACTTTTTGGTTTACCTGATGGCACTGGGTACACAGCCCTGGCCACAAAGATGCCTTCTGGAAAGGCAACGTCATCAATGCCTTTAGGGAGTTCTATCTATCTATCTATTATATAGGTGCACCGACCACTTTATTAGGTATACCTGTTCAATTGCTTGGTAACACAAATTGCTAATCAGCCAAACACATGGCAGCAACTCAGTGCATTTAGGCATCATAGTGAAGGCGAGCGTCAGAATGGGGAAGAAAGGGGATTCAAGTGACTTTGAATGTGGCATGGTTGTTGGTGTCAGACGGGCTGGTCTGAGTTTTTTTTAAAAAACTGCTGCTCTACTGGGATTTTCACGCATAACCCTCTCTAGGGTTTACACAGAATGGTCCGAAATAGAGAAAATATCTAGTGAGCGACAGTCGTGTGGATGAAAATGCCTTGTTAATGTCAGACGTCAGAGGAGAATAGGCAGACTGGTTCCAGATGATAGACAGTAACTCAAATAATCACTTTTTACAACTAAGGTATTCAGAATACCATCTCTGAGCACACAACACATCAAACCTTGAAACAGATGGGTTACAGCAGCAGACGACCACACCAGGTGCCACTTCTGTCAGCTAAGAACTGGAAAATGAGGCTACAGTTCACACAGGCTTGCACTGGATAATAGAAGATTGTTAAAATGTTGCCTGGTCTGAGTCTCAATTTCCCTAGAGATGGTTGTGTGTGAAAATCCAAGTAGATCAGCAGTTTTTGAAATACTCAGATCAGCCCGTCTGGCACCAACAACCACACCATGTTTAACCACTTCCCGACCGGCCGTTGTATATAAACGGCCGGACGGTGGCACTGCAGGGTCGGGTGGCCGTCTATAAACGGCCTCCCTGCACCCTGCTTGTGCGCGCTCCCTGGGAGCGCGCAGCACCGCGATCCGGTGCCCGCTGTGTCCTCCGGACACAGTGAAACACCGATCGTCGGACGGGACCTCTGTACGAGGTCCCGATCATGTGATCACTGATTGGCCAATCAGTGATCACATGCAAAGTAGTAAGCAAGATGTCACTTCTGACATCATTGCTTACTATGTGTGAAATCTGTGAATGATCACAGAGGTCACATGGTACAAGGCTATTCACAAAAGCCTTGTACCATGTGACAAGCTGTGACCAATCACAGCTCACTCAGTTCTTCTCAATGAGTGCAAGAATGCACACAGAGAGAAAGAGAAATTATTGCTTTTACATCCTATATGCGTGTAAAAGCAATCAGTGTAAAAAAAAAAAAAAATCATCATCACCCCTCACAAGTAGTACAGTGTCACCATGGTGACACTGTACTGCTAGGGTGACAGTATGTAAAAAAAAAAATAAAAAAAAAAAAATAATAATATAAAAATGTAAAAAAAATGTTTAAAAATTATAATTTTTGCTTATAAACTAATTTGGATTTTTTTTTTTTTACTAAAAAAGATAACGGAATAAATTTTGGCTAAGATTTATGATGAAATATTATTTATTTGCAAAATTTTATAAAAGAAACACTTTTTTTTCAAAATTTTTGGACATTTCATTTACATAGCAAAAAAAATGCAAATCCCAGTGGTGAATAAATACCACCAAAATAAAGCTTTATCTATCTCAAAAAAAATGGTAAAAAATTCATTTGGGTACAGTGTTGCATGACCGCGCAATTGTCATTCAAAGTGTGATAGCGCTAAAAGCTGAAAATTGCCCTGGTCAGGAAGGGGGTAAAAGTGTCCGGTCTGGAAGTGGTTAAAGTCACTTAAATCCCCTTTCTTCCCCATTCTAATGATTTGAACTTCAGCAAGTTGTCTTCCCCATGTCTACACGTCTAAATGCATTGAGTTGCTGCTATGTGATTGGATGATTAGCAATTTGTGTTACCAAGCAATTAACAGGTATGCCTAATAAAGTGGCCGGTGAGTGTATATATATGTATAGTGGAAACCAAAAAAGGAACGGAATGGGAACTTTAAGGGATGTGATGCCTGACTTTGGCTCTCCCTCATTTGGTCACAGTTGATAATGATATATATATATATATATATATATATATGTATATATAAAATTATATGTATAAAAGTCTTTCCAATAAAAGAATATTTTGTCCCTAAAACCAAAGATTTTCTGCCATATACCAGTTTTTAACACTCTAAAATGTAATTGTTTATTTTCTCCAGCTGCCCAAAACTGCAAGCAGTTACTGGATCAGGGTCAGTCTCTGAGCGGCTGGTACACAGTTCACCCATCAGATGGTGTTCCTCTTACAGTATTTTGCGATATGGAAAGTGATGGAGGAGGATGGACGGTAAGTACCGCTCCTATGGAAATGTTTTCTTTTTATGTCACATATTTTACATTCACACCAGCGTTTAGAGCCGGTGAAAATTGTAGCGGCAGCTCCTCCTGTGGCTCTCAGCAGGTAGGTGCGGTTACTGGCCTGTTCTCTATAATGACAGGTCACTAGTAGCCTGCATTTTGTTTTGAGGCAGACTCAGGGGAGGGACCAGGGGTGGGGTCAAGGGCAGGGGTGAAGGGGGCTATCAGGTAGGCTATCTTACTTGTTGCAGTGAAGCAGCAAATTACATGTGGACAGGGCTGCTGTTAGAAATCATGGGGCCCTGTATAGTGCCTAGCAGTGCCACCCACCTGTGCCCAGCAGTGCCCCCCATCAGTGCCACCCATCAGTGCTGCCCAGCAGTGCCACCCATCAGTGCCCAGCAGTTCCGGCAGTCAGTGCCACCCATCAGTGGGCATCAGTGCTGCCTATTCGTGCCACCTCATCAGTGCCGCCTATCAGTGCGCCTATCAGTGCTGCCTATCAGTTCCCATCAGTGCTGCCTATCCGTGCCACCTCATCAGTGCCCATATCAGTGTCCATGTGCTGCTATCAGTGCCCATCAGTGCTGCCTATCAGTGCAGCCTCATCAATGTACATCAGTGAAGGAGAAAAAATTACCTGTTTGCAAAATTTTATAATAGAAACAAAGAAACTTTTTTTTTTTTTAATTTTTTGCTTTTTTTGTTTATAGCACAAAAAATAAAACACCCAGCAGTGATTAAATACCACCAAAAGAAAGCTCTATTTGTGTTAAAGAAATGCAAAAAATGTCATATGGGTACAGTGTTGCATGACCGCGCAATTGTCATTCAAAGTGTGACAGCGTTGAAAGCTGAAAATTGGCCTGGGCAGGAAGGGGGTATAAGTGCCCGGTAGGCAAGCAGTTAAAGGGGTACTGCCCAAGTAGAATATTGCTTAAAGGGGTAACGCTTGTTCTTGCATTAGTCCTTTAAGGAGCTTACACCTATTGCATCCAAGGAGACCTGAATTCTTGTAGTGCACTAACTTGGGCCCCAATGAGCACGCAGAAGACACAGGGACAATCATTTGCTGCTTTAAAGAGCTCTTTCTTTCTCTCAGAATTAAACCGGGTCACCAGCTTCTGAGGGCCTACAGTCAGCTAGCCTTACTCTTTGTTAGTTGTTTTTTCTGCTCGCTGGGGAAGGAGACATCTCAGAGCTGAGGTCTTTTGGATCAAATTCTGAATTGCAGGACATCTAAAACTGATTGAGATTTTTTGCTGTGTGTATTTACTTTTGCTTAAAAATTACTAAGAGTGATACCTGTTATTATTTGCACACTTATTACTCTTTGTTGCTTTACTGTGCTCACATTCAATTCCAATATAAACAAGACCGCAGTTCATTGTAAACTGTGTTTGAGTCTATTTTCCAGTAATATTCAGAGGTTTTACTCTGGTCAGAAGTGTACGGTGGTGTCAGAAGGGGTTGGGTTTTCAGAGTGGGGTCAAGAGCAACAGGCAACCCAAAAATAATTCAGTGACTCTTAAGGGATTATTGATACGTATGTGTTCTGAAGTTGGTGGAAAAAAGTCCAGCTGTCCTATGATGGTGTGAGTCTAGATCTCTGTCAGGAATGGACTTGCCAGTATCTAAATCGGTCAGTCTGCCATCTGACAACCAGCCTTCCGTGGCGCAGCCTGGTATCCCGGTGCCCGTTGTCGAGCAAGACGTTCCAATGCCTGATGACCCGGTGCCCGCTGTCGTGCCAGTTGACTCAGAGCCAGCTGTCATGCCTGGTGACTCGCTGCCCACTGCCTTGCCAGATGACCTGGTGCCCACTGTCGAGCCAGATGACCCGATGCCTGATGACCCAGTGCCCGCTGTTGTGCCTGGTGACCCGATGCCCGCTGTTGAGCCAGATGACCCGGTGCCCGCTGTCGTGCCAGTTGACTCAGAGCCCGCTGTCATGCCTGGTGACTCGGTGCCCACTGCCTTGTCAGATGACTCGGTGCCCGCTGTCGAGCCAGATGACCTGATGCCTGGTATCCCGGTGCCCGTCGTCGAGCCAGAAGATCCAATGCCTGATGACCCAGTGCCCGCTGTCATGCCTGGTGACCCGATGCCCGCTGTCATGCCTGATGACTCAATGCCCGCTGTCGAGCCAGACGATTACAATGCCTGATGACCCAGTGCCCGCTGTCATACCTGGTGACCCGATGCCCGCTGTCGTGCCAGTTGACTCAGAGCCAGCTGTCATGCCTGGTGACTCGGTGCCCACTGCCTTGCCAGATGACTCGGTCCCCGCTGTCGAGCCAGATGACCTGATGCCTGGTGACCCGATGCCCGCTGTCGTGCCTGGTGACCCGATGCCCGCTGTTGAGCCAGAGTGACCTGGTGCCCGCTGTCGAGCAAGACGATCCAATGTCTGATGACCCGGTGCCCGCTGTCGGTGTACCTGGTGACCCGATGCCCGCTGTCGAGCCTGACGACCCGGTGCCCCCCGCTGTCGAGCCAGACGATCCGGTACCGGATGACCCGGTCCCCGCTGTCGTGCCAGTTGACTCGGAGCCCACTGCTGTCGTGACTCGGTTGACTCAGAGCTCGTTGTCGTGCCTCGATGACTCGGGGCCCGCGGTCTTGCCAGATGACTCGGTGCCTGCCGCTCCGCCTGGGGGACCCAGTGCCCGGTGCCCTGCCCCACTGTCCTCAGAGCCAGCCTGGTGGCCGGTGCCCCGCCTGGTGGCGAGCCGGTCCTGCCGCCCGCTGTCGTGCCTGCCTGGTGGCCCGGTGCCTGCCGCCCCCGTCCGCTGGTGGCCCGGTGCCTGCTGCCCTGCCTGGTATTCCGGTGTCCAGCCTGATGTGCCTCTGTCCGGTGTCCAGCCCGATGTGCCTCTGTCCGGTGTCCAGTCGGACGTGCCTCTGTCCGGTGTCCAGCCGGACGTGCCTCTCTGTCCGGTGCCCAGCCCGACGTGCCTCTGCCCGGTGCCCAGCCCGACGTGCCTCTGTCCGGTGCCCAGCCCGACGTGCCTCTGTCCGGTGTCTGTCAGCCCGACGTGCCAGTCTTTGATATCCCGCCAGTTACCGGACCCGGGCGGTGGAACATTTTGCCCAGCTAGGACTATTTGGAGCGTCTGAGGCCGCTCCTTGGGGGGGGGGGGGGTACTGTCAGGAATGGACTTGCCAATAATGGTGGGACTCACCTGCCTTGTGGGCTGTAGTACCAGGGCTGGCCAGCGGGTGCTCTCAGCAATCAGAGACTCACCCCTGCAGTCAGTCAAACACCTGAAGCTGATTGCAGGGGTTGTATTTAAGGAATGGCCAGACTCACAGTCAGGGCCTTGGTGTGTGTTTTTCCATGGGCCCCTGTATCTTGTGTTCCTGTTCCTGTTTCTGCCTGACTTGTTGCCGACCCTGCCTGATCCTGACCTCTGCTGACTTCTCCTGTTTGATCCCTGGCTTGTGACCCTGACCATTCTCTGCCTGACCTTCTGCACCGCGCTGCCCGTGAGTTACTGAACCCAGCTTGTGACCTCGACCACTCTCCCGCCTGTTCCTGGTACTCCGTTTGCCCATTCGCTACTGACCTGGCCTGCCTGACGACTCTTGCTTTGTATGTATTGTTATCTGTGGGTGGTTTGGTTTGTTTGCACTGTGTTTAGGTTTAGTTTTGCACTGCGTTTTGTATTGTTAGTCTTAATAAATTATATTGTTTATACCATATCTGAAGCCTGCGTTTCCCTGTGTCAGTCCACACACCTCTGGTCATACCCGGAGCCCTGACAATCTCCCTCACTAGGAAGAGCCTGGTGGATATCAGCTATGTGAGTAATTGACCCTAGTGCTGTAGAGTTAGTGACCGAGTGTAGCTTGTAAACTCTGGAAGGAGTACTAGTCACCATCAGCCTAGAGATCCTGTGGGACATTTTTTTTTTCTTACTGTAGAGCCAGATCGTTGAGAAATCCTCAAGTTATCCTGTTCTACAGTTTATTCTCCCTCTCCCTATCCAAGTTTATTGTTCCCAATAAAAACCCAAAAAGAAACCCCTAGACTGTTCTTTAGAGCCAGTTAAAGAGTGAAGAAAATGCTGTGTGCTTGGCTGTGTGTGCTCTGAGTGGGAAAATAGGCTACACACCACTACCTTTTTCAATAATTTGAACTACAGTAGCTCTTCTATTCGATCGTACTACACAGGCCAGCCTTCATTCCACATGTGCATCTATGAGCCTTGGCTGCCCATGACGCTGTAGCCAGTTTGCTGGTTTTCATTTCTTGGACTTTGTTTGCCATGGATCTTGGACGACAAGATTGACAATGGATTTACATCGTAGGACAATTTTTTTTTTAAAGGACTTGTCAAAAAGTGTATGTACATTCATCTCCTAGATTGTAAGCTCGAAAGAGCAGGGCCCTCGAACCCCTCGTGTATTGTATTGTTACTGTCTTGTCTCATGTTCTGTCCCCCTTGCTACTGTACAGCGCGCTGAGCATACCCTTTGGCGCTATATAAATACTGTATAATAATAATAATAATCTACCATTGACTTTTGTTTGCGAATGAGTGGACAGTGGGCAGAATCTAGGGTCTTTTAAAGGGGGCTCCCTTACCCTTATCACCATGGGGAAAAGGTGCTTTGCCAGGGGGTCCCTTCTAGCAAGGCATCCTCCACATCCTATGGTAAGGGCATGTGGTCTGGTATGGTTGGGAGGGTGCACGCTCACCCCTCCTTTCCTGGCCCCCCAGGCTGAATACTTGGATAAGGGTTTGGTATGGATTTTGTAGGTGAACGTCACGCTTTTTTTTTCTTTCTTTATGTGAGATTCACCTTTAAAATTCATGCCAGATTCAAAAAGTCTGGTATGGAATTTTAGGGTGGATGCCATGAATTTTTTTTTTAAGTTTGTTTTCATAGGGTCCCCCTTAAAATCCATGCCAGACCTAAAGGGGCCTCTTGTTTTTTTTTTTTCCTCTTATTTCTCTTATTGTATTTGTTTTTTTACACTATCCCCGCTGTTTAACCATTTGCCATTCTGAGGATTTACCCCCTTCCTGACCAGGCAATTTTTTGCGTTACGACACTGCGTTACTTTAACTGACAATTTCAAAGTCATGCAATGCTACACCCTAATGAAATTTCCGTCCTTTTTTTTCTCACAAATTGGGCTTTCTTTTGGTGGTATTTGTGCTGTTTTTATTTTTTACGCTATAAAAAAGACCAATAATTTTGAGAAACAAAATTTTATTTTTTACTTTTTGCTATTAGACATATCCAATATAAAATTAAAAAAAATCAAATTTCATCATAAATTTATGCCAAAATGTATTCTGCGACATGTCTTTGCTGAAAAAAAATCCCAATATGTGTAAATTATTTGGTTTACATGAAAGTTATAGCATTTACAAATGGAGGTATATATACTGGGATTTTTTTTTTCATTTTTACTAGTAATGGCGGCGATCAGCGACTTATAGCGGGGCTGTGGGACTGCGGGACATTGACACTGGGGGAAACTGACTTGGTGTTACTGACATCCCCAAGTGACATCAATACAGTGATCAGTGCTAAAAAAAGCACTGATACTGTACTAATGGCATTAGGCAGGAAGGGGTTAATATGAGGGGTGATCAAAGGGTTAACTATATGCTGGGAGTGTTTTACTAGGGGGCGGTGTGTGTGTGATTCACTGTGCACAGCCACCCACTGCAGTGTGCCCGAGCTGACAGAGGAGAACTGTTACTAAACAAAACAGTTCCCTCTGTAGGAGATCCTCGGAAATCACCAGGCGAGTAATTACCAGTTGGGGCCCATGCGCTCCTTACCCGGAAATGCAAAATTACGTATATATATATATATATATATATATATATATATGTGTGTGTGTGATTTTGTGCACAGCTGCCCCCCTGTAGTAGTATTTCTGTTATAGGTCTCCAAGTGGTTAATTATACTGACCTGCCAATCTGGAATCCCTGGCTGACAGCTGAATGAGGGCTGGTTTACACCAGCAATTGCACAGGAATTGCAAATACCTGCATGATTCACATGTGATGCAGTGTGGTGCAATTTGAGTTCATTCATTTTGAATGGGCTAAATCTGACTAAACCTCACCAAAAAGCAGTGTGCTGTACCATGTCATCTGGTGCAGGCAAACCCACTGCATTTTATAACTGGTATAGCCCTTCCATCAGCACCACATCCCAATGAGATAAGTCCAAAAACAAATAAAGCAATAGCAGGTTTTCCAGGAGGGAGCCCACCCTTCCTTAAAGGTGAAGGGACACATTGGATGCCCAGGCATACCTGCCCTTGACTTATCCACTGCCATGCTCCAACATGGAGAAAACACAGAGTTAGGACCGCACACCGAGCAGAAGAGCCTTGGCAAGGCAGTACAGCTTCCACATGTAATTGCAAATGTGTGCAACTAAACCGTCTGGTTTTAATATGTTTTGTTAGAAAGACAGCAAATGTTGTTTTATTGCAGGATAGCTGGCAAGTGTGCTGGGAAATATATTATTTTGTTTTTGATATTACACAACAATTATAGGAATTATTCATTATGCTTCCACAAATATGGAGACATTCACAAAGCATTTTTTTTTTATAAATAGACTCCTAAGGTAAGACCAGCTGACTTCAACGCACAGTATTAACTGTATAGATTTTCCAAAATTAATGTATACTCATACTGTATATACTGTACTTGTATATTTTACACATGTATTTTTAATAATATTTTGTCTATAACTAGCAGATGAGTATGAACAATAAATGCATAGTTCATAAACAAACTGTATCTATACAAGCCCTCAAAGTGCCTGAAAGCTGAATGGTCTGTATTACCTAAACCAACCACTTACTTTTTCCTTTTCATTTTGTAACCTGCCCAGGACACATGAGAGAGAAGATATGGTTGGTTGTAATGATCAGACTTCGGTACTGGTATGCAATAGTAACACCATTACAAGACCTGGATTGCCTTGGCCTTCTGCTTGGGTTGCCAATCTTTTCAGTACAAGGACCACATTGTATATTTTATAATATTCATGAGAGTCTCTCCTTACATCAGGGTCCCC